ACAAAGAGATGTCCTTCTATTCCTCTGAAAATAAATTGAGTAAAATGGAGGCTCTGCATGCTACTAGGAACTGTGTGAAGTTATGACATTTGATTGGTTCATTTAGGTAACTAAAAGTCCTAGCATGACATCTAAACAACTTTCCTGTCTGTTCAACTTCCTAGGAACTCAGGTGCTTTCTATTACTAGACATGCAATGTTTAATTGGGAACTCAGTACTGCATTTAGATATTCATCCTTGATTTGTAAATTCTTGAACTGAGGCTGATAAATTTTTGGTATAATTATTCCCAGAAACAATTGGCATACAAGGAAATAATTGGTGATGCAGTATTTTAACTTACTGGATTGGGGCTTCCTGCCATGGGGAGCCAGTTCCAGTGCCTGACCACCCTCTTGGTGAGAACCTTTTGCTAATATCCAACCTGAACTTGCCCCAGTACAGCTTCATGCTATTCTCTAGGGTCCTTCAAGATAAGCTGAAGGACTGAGGTTTGTCTACTCTGGACGTGTAAATAAAGACTCTTATTGTCCTCTTCAACAAACTGAGGTTATACAGGAAAAAGAAACAAGCTCTTCTTGAATGTGCAGAGTGAAGGGATGAGGGGCAACAAACACATGTTGTAGCAATAGGACTTCTGACCAGGTATTTGGAAAAAAAAGTCACCATCAAGGTGGTCAAATATTAAATGGGTATCCAGAGAGACTAAGGAATCTCCATCCCTGGAGATAATCAAAACTTCACCAGAAAAGCCTCTGAGTAACTTGATTTGATGTGTATTGAACAAAAAGATAGACCAGAGAACTGCCTGAGATTCTTCTCAGGCAAACCCTTCTATAATGCTCTGTAAGTTTTCCAATAAACCAAAGGGCAACAAAAATTGTTGACTCATTTGGACAATATATCTGCTCTTTCATAGTGTTTTCTGCTGACAAGCCCCTCCATAACGATCAACCATGTCTTCAGATTCTGAGATGGCCATCTTTGGGGAGGCAGCTCCCTATCTGCGAAAGTCAGAGAAGGAAAGAATTGAAGCTCAGAACAAGCCTTTTGATGCCAAATCATCTGTCTTTGTGGTACATCCAAAGGAATCCTTTGTGAAAGGGACAATCCAGAGCAAAGAATCAGGAAAGGTCACTGTCAAGACTGAAGGTGGAGAGGTGAGTGAAAAACAAGGCTGAAAGACACCATTTGATTCCCACTGTGGGCTGTAAGCTGACATACACTGATCTTTCATTTCCTTGGCAGACTCTGACCGTGAAGGAAGATCAAATCTTCTCCATGAACCCTCCCAAGTATGACAAAATTGAGGACATGGCCATGATGACCCACCTCCATGAACCCGCTGTGCTGTACAACCTCAAAGAGCGTTATGCAGCCTGGATGATCTATGTAAGTACCAGCAGCTCTCTTCCTTTGGGTAGCTGGAAGGCCTGCTGTGCCAAGCTGAGCAGAAACCAACGTTCTGTCTCCCTTCCTCTTAGACCTACTCGGGTCTCTTCTGTGTCACTGTCAACCCCTACAAGTGGCTGCCAGTGTACAACCCGGAGGTGGTGTTGGCCTACCGAGGCAAAAAGCGCCAGGAGGCCCCTCCACACATCTTCTCCATCTCTGACAATGCCTATCAGTTCATGCTGACTGGTGAGTGGTTCTCAAAGTTATTCTATTAAAAGATGTTTAAATGTAAGCAGAAAATTTGTCCCGATAAATATACTGATTTCTATTAACACGTCTGTTTTGTTGTTGTTGTTTTTTTGTGTGTGTGTGTGTTTATTTTTTTTTTATTTTTTATTTCAGACATAGTATTAATCACTGCTATTTAAAAACAGTCGTTTTACATCAGGATTTCTAAAGAGGAGGTTAATGCCATAGGTAGTTAGCATATTAGGAAAAACAATAAGCAGAATGGAGCAGATAGAGAAAGAATAAGTTATGCCTATAATGAAATGTTGAAAGGGAACAGGGTACGAAACTCCATATGTTATTTGAAAATTCTGCTTTTGCTCTAAATACAATCTGTGTAGCAGAAGTAACAAAATAAAAATGGAAACCATTCACTCTACTTTTATGCAGGAGAAAAAAGATCATAACAGTATAGTAAGAAAAAAACAAGTCTGTTCAAGGATTTTCAGTGTTCATAGGAAAGCATTATTTTGCAAACTGAAAAAACTATTAGTAGTAAAAGGAAGTTAAAATATATATATACTTTTTCTGGGTATAATTTACATGTATTGCATTAATTTTAATCTTATTTTGTTCTTCATTTGCAATGTCTACTTCTTTCTGCCTCTTTCATTCACAGACCGTGAGAATCAGTCAATCCTGATCACGTAAGTATGATCCTTGCTGGGGTCCTCACAGGGCTGCCCCATGCCCAGGGACCACACACTATCTGATTCTCTGTCTGGTTTGACAGTGGAGAATCTGGTGCAGGGAAGACTGTGAACACAAAGCGTGTCATCCAATACTTTGCAACAATTGCAGCTAGTGGGGAGAAGAAAAAGGAGGAGGCAGCCTGGCAAAATGCAGGTGAGCTCTTCGGACAGACAGACTCAAGACTCAGCCCATAACTGCCGAGTGAATTAAATACTGTAAATATACGATTATCATATTGTAGGGGACACTTGAGGATCAAATCATCAGCGCCAACCCCTTGCTGGAGGCCTTTGGTAATGCCAAGACTGTGAGGAACGACAACTCCTCACGCTTTGTAAGTTTTTGATAAGAGATTTTGACATTTATTGATGAACAAGAATGTCCGAACAGAACCTGTCACTTCTGAAGTGACATAGTAGGATAGTTTTATTCCTTGAAGTCATATTTTCCTCGTATTTTGCTTGACTAAAAAATATCTAACTGTCTAATTAACTGTTTAACTGTAGAAGTGTAGCACAGCAAACAAATATGTACAAAGAGGGATCATTTAAATATGTGTAAATGTATTTGTTATTTAGAATTTATAAATGTATATATAAACTCCTAGTATCCGTCATACAGACTATAGATACAAAGCTGTGTAAATTTATGTAATGCAAAGAAAGGAAGAAAGGGAGAGAAAGAGGAAGGAAGAGACTAACACACAGGAAACAATTTGCCTGTATCCAATCCACAAAATATTAATCTGACTTTGCTAGATATAGAACTGGGCAGGTCTAGTAATTTAACCGTTCAGACCTTGATATGAGCTGCCTGGGAAGGGAAAGTGACAAGAGTATCTTCAGACATCCTGTAACAAACCTAACTGCTCTATGACACATATTTTTGATCTTTTTAATTACAGAAAGCCATTAGTAAATTGTACTCGATAAGCTGTGAATGTTCTTAAGAAATTGCAATACCAATTCACAGTTGCAGCTTTAAGTTTTGCATTCTATTGCATTGTCCCTGTGCCCATGGTTCAGAAAAGAAAAGCTGCCTTCCATTGTTCTACAGGATCCAAAAACTCATTTTAACACATACACCGTATTCCAGTAAAATTGACCTTCACTGCATCCTATCTCATTAAGGACTGAATCCACTGCATTTGGGCTTTCTCTATATACATCTGTTCAAGCTCAAGCATAAATGAGCTAACAAATGTCTACTTTAGTGGTTTTCCTTCTCCTCTTCAATCAGGATATCAACTGAATAACAATAACTTGTCTCAGATCTTTATCTTACTGTTGCCAACATAGAGCTGTCTCTTAGTTTCACTGTTCTTGTATGTGTGTTATGTTTTGTTTTGTTCTGTTTCTGTTTGTTTTTGTTTGTTTGTTTGTTTGTTTGTTTGAGAGGGGACAACAAATTCACAGATCTTCTAAGTTGAAAACCTGTACTCTGTACAGACTGTATGGAGACTGTATGGTTACATGCTTGTGGCCTTAGTGAAATTTCAACATACATTTTTATTTTCCTCTCAAGGGCAAATTCATTCGAATTCACTTCGGGGCCACAGGCAAACTGGCTTCTGCTGACATTGAAACTTGTAAGTGATCTCCTGGCATGATCACATCTCTTCCCAAATTCCTCCTTCCACATGCTGTCATGTGCCTAACTCTGCCTGCCTTCATTGTTAGATCTGCTGGAGAAGTCCAGAGTCACTTTCCAGCTCAAGGCAGAAAGAAGCTACCACATATTTTATCAGATCATGTCCAACAAGAAGCCAGAGCTGATTGGTAGGAAGGATCATTATATCTTTTTGAGGATGATTGATGAGCAACAGTTCCCCCTACTACCTAGCTGAAAACACTAAGCCTGTGTCTTTCTTCTTTCTGCTTTCAGACATGCTTCTCATTACCACCAACCCATATGACTACCAATTTGTTAGTCAAGGTGAGATCACTGTTCCCAGCATTAACGACCAAGAGGAGTTGATTGCTACTGATGTAAGTTACACATAGAAATTTTATTAATTGATTTGATACGTTTAATATATGTGGCATTTACATTCACTGAATCCATTGCCAGAGTGCCATTGACATCCTGGGTTTCACTGCTGATGAAAAGACTGCCATCTACAAGCTGACAGGGGCTGTCATGCACTATGGCAACTTGAAGTTCAAGCAGAAACAGCGAGAGGAGCAGGCAGAGCCAGATGGCACAGAAGGTATTAATAAAATATAAAACTGTCAAGAAGAGAACAGTAAAGTAGTTGGCAGGTGGTGGTCAGGCACATTGCTCAAATTCACTTTTATAAAAACATAATCTCAGTTTCCATAGTAATCATGCTTCTAAATTTCCCTTCAGGCTACCGCAGTATTGCAGTTTTAGAATTTGCACCTCTGCACTTAGCTCTTAGAGAACATCCACTGTTCACTGATTACTTCTCTGCCATTCTCTCTCTCTCTCTCTTTGCATATAGTTGCTGACAAGGCTGCCTACCTGATGGGTTTGGAACTCAGCAGACTTGCTCAAGGCACTGTGCTACCCCCCGAGTCAAAGTTGGGAATGAATATGTGACCAAGGGTCAAACTGTGCAGCAGGTAACAAACAGCTGGTGACTGGGTTCCTCTGGCTTGATTTACTATCTTACTCTAGATGCTCCTCTTCTGCTGCATTCTTCTTTCTTCTAGGTGAACAATGCAGTGGGTGCTCTAGCAAAAGCTGTCTATGAGAAGATGTTCTTATGGATGGTTGTTCGCATCAACCAGCAGCTTGATACGAAGCAGCCCAGACAGTACTTCATTGGTGTCCTGGACATTGCTGGCTTCGAGATCTTTGATGTAAGGAAAACAGAAATCATAGTAAGGTCTTCAAAAGGCAATTAGGGGTCAAGATAAAGCAGGGAATTATGGTTTGGGGGGTTTTGGTTTCTTTTGAAAACATGCCGTTGACTTACAATTTCAAATATGGGTTCATATTTTATTGCAGAAAAAGTGGAAAATATATATTTTTATTGCAAAAGTGAAAAAAAATATATTGCAAAAGCAGAAAATTTGCAGTTGTGTGGAAATGCTTGCCTTTCTGAATATGTCACTGATTTTACACCAAGTAAAAGTACAATCTTCAAAGATTTTTCATGTAATAGCTTTCTGTAGTATAAAGGGGGAAAATAACTGCTTTTTATATAATTACCACAAATGCTGTAGTTTTTCAATAGCTTGAGCATATTATTGAAAAAAATCATCTGACAAGTTGTATAAAGATACCAATGATACAATATCACATATTGTATAAACAGAAAATTAGACCTAAGTCCCACACTCCCACACAGATTTATCCCAAGGCTTTGGAAAAAGAAGGCAATATATACTCTTTGCTTCCGAAGACCCATAGGGTGATTCCAATAGGAAGAGATTATTGACTGCCTTTAGTGCAGGCACAAAAAGCAGGCACACAATTTTTTATAAAACTTTAGATAAAGAACCTGAGTACAGGCCACTGCTGGAAAACACTTGTAACATCTAATGTTTTTTGTTAGGGCAATGGGAAAAACGTACATAAAACCTTGTTAGGGATAAGACTACTAAATTATTTTGGAATTTGATTTAAAAATAAGTGATAGATGTAAACATTAGTCAGGTAGAAAAGAACAACCAAAAAAAAAAAAAAAAAGTGAATGGGATCTTTTAAAATCTTTCACTGGGCATTCCTGTGTGGGATTGAGTACACAGGAGAAAGCATTACAGAGATTGTTGCATCTTGAGTATGAGTAAATCTTACCTTTGCACTGAGCAGTTCAACAGCCTGGAGCAGCTGTGCATCAACTTCACCAATGAGAAACTGCAGCAGTTCTTCAACCACCACATGTTCGTGCTGGAGCAGGAGGAGTACAAGAAGGAAGGAATTGAGTGGGAGTTCATTGACTTTGGGATGGACTTGGCTGCTTGTATTGAGCTCATTGAAAAAGTACGTTCATTGTGTTTAAAATATTATTTCTTGTTTGTGGCAGAATTGTAGGCTTTTACCTCATTTTTTTGCTCTAGTTCAGATTTCTAAGTAATTTCTAAGGACTTGATTAGGTTATGAATGAGGTGCATTCATCTTATCATTTAAGTACATTAATATAATTTTTTTTAAATGACCTGTAGTTTTACCTGCCTGGAAATAGAAAAATAAATGTGATCACACATAATCTGATGGCAAGGATTTTCTGCAGGTGTATTTTCTAATGTGCAAAGATGAAAGAGCTCTTTTCAGATACTCAGGCACAATATTCAGTATCAGGATTATGATCTCAATATTAATGTTGTGATTTCAGAAATGCAATTTGTAATTAAAATCAGAGATGTACATATAAAAAAAATGGTATTGGATTAACAATGCTGAATAAAAACATAGCTGTGAGCCAGCACTATTTTGAGTAACATTATGTACAAGAATGAGAAGAAAGATACCTCATAAAAAATAAGATTTCAGGAAGCATCTGAAATACCTACTGATCTATTGAACAAAGGTTAAATTTAGTTAGGCACCTTTGTCTACATGAAGTTAATGTGAGAAAGGCTTAATGCAAAAATAAAAATCTCCTTTTTATCCATCAGAATTTTATTTTCAGACACTTCAAATTCATATTTCATGTAAAAATGTATGTCCAAAAGAACAACAACAACAAAAAAATCCATTTCTAAAATTCCTATGCCTTACTCTAGTCTCTTTATGAAAGCAGAATTGTATTTAACTCTGTTTTTTGTTGCTGTTTCTCCCAGCCCATGGGCATCTTCTCCATCCTGGAAGAGGAGTGCATGTTCCCCAAGGCAACTGACACCTCTTTCAAGAACAAGCTCTATGACCAGCATCTGGGCAAGTCCAACAACTTCCAGAAGCCCAAGCCTGGCAAAGGCAAGGCCGAGGCCCATTTTTCACTTGTGCACTATGCTGGCACAGTGGACTACAACATCTCTGGCTGGCTTGAAAAGAACAAGGACCCCCTGAATGAAACTGTCATTGGATTGTACCAGAAGTCATCTGTAAAGACATTGGCCTTACTTTTTGCCTCTGCTGGTGGAGAAGCAGGTCAGTTATCTGAAATGTCAACACTCTGGTGCACAGTGGTTATGCAAAACTGTAGAATCATGAATGGTCCAAAACCAAAAAATATTGTTATCTTCACTTTATCAGAGGCTAGTGGTGGTGGTGGCAAGAAAGGTGGCAAGAAAAAGGGTTCTTCGTTCCAGACTGTCTCAGCTCTTTTTCGGGTAAGTAAAAATTCGATATGTTTTTATCTTTGAAAATCAGAAATAGATTAATTTTACATCAGAAAAGACTGTAGTTCTAAGTCAAGAAAGAAAAGAGAAGAAGTTTTTTGGTAAAACTATGAAGTAGACAACCTCTGTTTCTCATTGTGTCAAAAGCAACATTTTATCTTATCTTGGCAGATGGTTTTCAATGTTTAGAGGGGAACTTTGATTGAGGTGTTACCATTATTATGTAGCTGAGAATTTTCAGCTGAGTGCATATCCATTGTTAGGTGCATGACCTTTTAGTGACAAGTTCAAGGAACCTGGTAGTGAGAACCGAAGATTTTCTTTAAACACATACCATATTGTGGTCCCACAGGAGAACTTAAATAAACTGATGACCAATCTACGGAGCACTCACCCCCATTTTGTCCGTTGCATCATACCAAATGAAACAAAAACACCAGGTAAGGCAATCCAGCAGAAACAGATTTTCCACTGACACAGCCATTCGCTTCTATGCTGAAAACTGGTATTTATTTATGCTTTAAATTGCTAGGTGCCATGGAACATGAACTAGTACTACACCAGCTGCGCTGTAATGGTGTGCTGGAAGGGATACGAATTTGCAGGAAGGGATTCCCCAGCAGAGTCCTCTATGCAGACTTTAAACAGAGGTGAGAGTGTTGCACTTCTCAGCATAATACAAACATAGTTGGTTCATTCATTTAGATTTATTCAGGTTGGACTACATTCTCCAAAATAACTGTTGATAAGATGGTTGGATTCAGTATCTACTGTGTGTTGATTGGGAAGCTCAGCTTTATCTTGCTTTTTTGCTTTTCACAGGTACAAGGTGCTTAATGCCAGCGCTATCCCAGAGGGACAGTTCATTGATAGCAAAAGGCTTCTGAGAAACTTCTGGGGTCAATTGATGTGGATCACACCCAGTACAAATTTGGTCACACCAAGGTACAAACTCTTCCTGACTCAATCACTACGTGCCTGTGCCTAGTTCTACCTGGCAGTGATGTGTTGCAACATTCCCTTTCTCAAGGTGTTCTTCAAAGCTGGGCTGCTAGGGCTCCTGGAGGAAATGAGGGATGAGAAGCTGGCACAGCTCATCACTCGCACACAGGCCAGGTGCAGGGGCTTCCTGATGAGAGTGGAGTACCAGAGAATGGTGGAGAGGAGGTAGACATTGCTCATCTTCAGTTAGAGTCATTTTCCTCTGGAGGAAAGCGTCACCATTCATCACACTGAAAATAATCAATGTATAATTTCATTATGCTTCAGGGAGTCCATCTTCTGCATCCAGTACAACGTTCGTGCATTCATGAATGTCAAGCACTGGCCCTGGATGAAGCTGTTCTTTAAGATCAAGCCCTTGCTGAAGAGTGCAGAATCTGAAAAGGAGATGGCCAACATGAAGGGGGAGTTTGAGAAAACCAAGGAAGAGCTTGCAAAATCTGAGGCAAAGAGGAAGGAGCTGGAGGAGAAAATGGTGTCTCTGCTTCAGGAGAAAAATGATCTGCAGCTCCAAGTGCAAGCTGTGAGTTATTCCATTTATTTCCACCCAGCAAAAGATTATGTACATTCAGGCTCCTCTTTCCCAAACAGATGGTCAGATTATAGAAGATTATATGTCAGATACTTAGTGAGGTGTGCATCATACTGACTGTGAAACTGCTTAAAATAATGTCTGGCAGTAGCCTGGTGAGCCCTTTGATACCCAGTGCAGGGAGTTTTAGGTAGAACTCTGTTCTCTTGCTTTATAAGGAAGAAACAATCTACAGCTGTGTAGGTGAGTCCTGCCGGTTGTACCTCCTTCACCAAGACATAAACCATGAATGCATTTTGGACATGATATGCAATCTAGAGTTCAAACTGATGTTTATAATATTATAATGCTTATAATATTATAAATATCAGTTATAATGCTTGTAATATTATGATATCAGTTACCAAACTGATGCTTATAATATTATATATCAGCTTCTTGATAACTATGGTTTATTCATTCATTCATTCATTCAAGTGGGAAATATGACTAGAAATGTCTTCTCAGCCTAATGAAGCTCATCTTCTAATGAAGTCTAATCTCTTGGGGCTGTTCTATGGTGTTTTACTATGTACAGGAGAGTTCAGTATTCCCTGGGATAATGAAAAGTAACAGCCTGGTATTGGTAGATGTTGGAAAAGGTACTCTTCCCAGTGAAAAGGCTTTCTGAGCCCTGCCCATCCTTCAGTGCTTTAGTTTATAATCCTTAAATATAAAACACATATGCCAAATTTAAAGAGCATATGTATGTATAATAAAATTAAAGCAGCTCTGGGTAGACACTTCATATCTCTGTATTCTTTAGACTTGAGTAAAGCACAGAACAAGAAAGATGAGTAAGCAAAAACAGATGACTAAGCAAAACCTTTCACTTCTGGGTACTGTAGTTATTTGCATCTGCAACCTGGATTTTCATCACATGCCATATGGTAGTTGTGTTATTAGTAATATCCTATGAACCTCATGTACACAAAACAAACAAACAAACAAACAAAAACTAGAAAAATTAAGTATCGTTTAAAAATATATTCCACCAGTGTTTGATATTCAAAACCCATCTTAGAAAGAAAACCAAAATTACTAATTAAGTCATTTAAATCACTAAAATTACCTAATACATTCACATTGCCCATAGTTTCACAGTGATCTGGGTTTTGAGTTAGAAAGTGGGAAAGCTGAGGATTTTTTTCTTAGTCCAAATGAGAAAAATAAACACTGGTTTTGATTGTCTTACTTTTAAAGTTGTCTGTCAATTAAACTTAGTCACTGCAAAGCTATTTTAATGAAATATCAAAGACTGAAGCAATAGAGAGCAAGCTGAAATCAGCATTGAAAACTACAGGCACAGTGTCTAGAAACTAAGTATGCCTCTACAGTATGTGCAGTACGCTTAATGAATGTAGACAAGAGATATTCTTCTTTCTGTGACATTTTAATCCTGAACATAATAAAAGCTTTACCTCTCAATGTAATACTTGGTCCACCATAAGAAAATTACAAAAAGGAAGCTGCTTTGTACTATTTCTAGTACAAAGGAAAAAAAGCCTGTAAATTTGTTCCACTGACAAAAGGAGAAACAGAGATGAAGTGTGTCAGGGAAGGAGGTATCCTCACAGCTCACAATTCTTTTAGACATTTTATGAAAGAACTAAACAAAACAACCCTTATTTCTAAGAGAAGATGTGCATTATTTTTTTTCTTTATTCCCCCTAAGAAAATAAATTGAAAAAATAGATCAGCTGTTTGTGTGGAAGTGCAAATCCAGATATAGAATTTAGATGTCAATTTACTGAGATAAAAGATAAACTTCAAAGAATTATATAAATTTATAAAATTAAAATATTTTGTATCTCCCCACAAGGAAGCAGATAGCTTGGCTGATGCTGAGGAAAGATGTGATCAGCTCATCAAAACTAAAATCCAGCTGGAAGCCAAAATTAAGGAGGTGACAGAACGGGCCGAGGATGAGGAAGAAATTAATGCTGAGCTGACTGCCAAGAAGAGGAAACTGGAGGATGAATGTTCAGAGCTGAAGAAAGACATTGATGACCTGGAGTTAACCTTGGCCAAGGTTG